TTCTTACCATGCGTATGCCTAGAAGAGAAGCATTCATTTTACAAGAACATCAACTGTTGTGAGGATCCTCCCTATGAGCATGATTGGGGCATGGTGCACACAGTTGCTCAGAGACAAATATAGAAGTAAAATCCATTCTCCTCTGTGACCTCCCCGAGGCTGGGTCTACACTACAGTCTGTTGTTGGAAAAAGCTACGCAAATTGCACTATGCAATTTGCGCAGCTTTTTCTGATCACTTTTCCAGAAGAGGCTTTTCCGCCATTTGGCCCTATGTAGATGGGGCCAAATGACTGAAAATCCTCCTCTTTCGGCACAGCCCTTATCCCTCATAGAACGAGGGATATAGGGCTCCTTGAAAGAGCGCATTTGCTCTTTTGCAAAAAAAAAAAAAAAAAAAAAGGGGGGGGGGGAAGCAGAAGAGCAAACGCGTTCCTTGGACATGGTGGAGTTTTTCTGGGATACCTCTGGTATCCCAGAAAACCCCCAACGTGTAAACATAGCCTGAGTCTCCATTGTAAGCAGTGTCTCTATGTCTGCTACACAACAGCTATGGGAGCTACTGGGAGAACAGATGGAGCTTTTGGCTCTACCTCCTTCAATATGTTGGCCACTGGAGCGGTGGGAGGGAAAGTGGAGGAGGGGACAAGAAAGGGCTAATTCCTAGACCTAGATGCTTCCATATACTGCTCTCTATTCAGGGCTGTAAATAAATAGGCAGTCTAATCTTTTGTGCATTTGAGCCTCATTCTTTTTCATCTTCCTTTCTTCACTGCTTTGCCTCCAGGACTTACAGTGTCTTACAGTTACTGTAACCTTAATAGGACTCCTTAGGAATCCTATTGTTGGACTCTATGCATGGGATTCAGGGCATGTGCAGTTACAAAATCTCCATATTTTTTCTGGGATTTCCCAAAAGTCTTTCTGCTTTTTGCAAAAGGCGCTATCATGGCTACAGTTGTATTGTTATAGTAGTATCGTACAAGTGCCTACTATGTGTAGAAAATCTAAAATGTAAAAGCCAAAAAATATGATAAATCGCAAATATAATGCTTTAGAGCTTTTCAGAGGAGAGGGCATTTGGCCTCTTATTACCCATGCACATTTTCATTGGAGCTTTAACATAATTAAAAAACATCTCTGAAATATTTCTTTTGGCATTTCTCAGCCAGCCTCCTTAAATTGGACAATTTCTTAACCTTGAACAAACATTGGTATTTTCCTTTCTGTCACATATTTGCTCTCCTTTCTTTTATCACTTTTTAATCAAACTTGTTACAGCTTTGGTTTCAAGCCCTGATTCCCACTTTGTAAGCTCTGGGTGTGCATAGAAGTTCTTATGCTTTATTAAATGTAACTGTAATTAAAAACTTTTTTGTCAGGGATGTGCCACTTTTTTTTCCCTATGAAGTGCCAAGGGCTGAATAATTAATCATTATAATTTCATTTTAAAATTCACAGTGCTAACAGTTGCTAAGGTGTCAGATATATCTACAATGATGATATTTCTTAAAATAATCTATTTGGGTGTTTCTTAAAGCACCTGGAAATCTTTGGGAAACTGTTGGACAGTTTTTGGTCCTAATTTGCCAGCTTTGTGCTCCAGTGGCGCAAAGGAACCAGAAAGTTGGTGCATCCATCTGAATGAGGATTCCCATGGATTAGGGAATTGGTTCTATGCCACCCGCTTTCCAGGCCAGTCCTGCAATTCTCAGTTCCTAAAAAGGACATTGGACTACAGTCCAATCTAATTAGGCTATCTGGAGGGTTGGGATGGCACAACCAGTTTCAGGGTCACAGAATCATGAAGTAGACTTAAGACATCCTTGCAACTCCTCTGCCCTTTAAATATATCAAGGCCTTGTCCACACTAAATGGAAGATTGCCCCTGCTGCAATCAATCTTCCGGAGTTCAATGTAGTGAGTCTAGTTAAGACTCACTAAATCCTCCTGCTTTTGCCATGAGGAGCAAGGGAACTCAACACGAGTGTTTGCCACCAAGCTTGGCTTAAGGTAAATTGCGTACCTTAAGGTGAGCTGCTGGGTCTAGTGTAGACTGGGCTTAGTCATAGATGAGGATCTAAACTGTTTAAATAGCCCAATAGGATGATATTTTTTTTCAGAGTGAATTTTTCTTATATATGGACATTTCCAATTATCAGTATGCATTTTCTTTATTTTGTACTTCCATATCACAGTTCATTTAAATGCATTTGACAAATACTGAATCTCACAAGACTCCTGAGGAAAAAAAACTGGCAGAAGTTACATGAGTTGCTCGGAATGACGGAGCTGGAAATGGAACTTAGACCTTCTGACACCTTCTCCCATAATTTAGCTACAAGATTTCTCTCTCTCCCCCTCTCATAATAAAGGACATGAATCAAACCTATTGAAACCAATAAAATCAGGTCTGTATTGCAATTTTAAATTTAATTTGAATTGACTCAATAAATTGTATTTTCCATAGGCTGAACCTTTCAACTACAGTATCTGTTAAAGTTTTAACACATTTTCTACTCAGAGGCACGATTTTTTTTTCTCCAAAAGAGCAAATATTTATGTATTACATGGAAGGAGTAAAGTCTATAATGAACTTTGGTCCATTATACACTCTACTGTGTATTCATTAACTTTAAGTATAGCTATAAAAACAGCTGTTTTTAGTTCAGAGGTTCTTGTGAACAGGGGCAGCTGGTCTTTAAGGCTATTTGGGCTGATCCCCTCAGCTAGGCTGTGTCCAGACTCAGGGGTTTTTTCAGGAAAAGTAGCCTTTTCCCGAAAAAACTTCCCCTGCGTCCAGACTCAAGCGGCGTTCTTTTGAAATTATTTCGAAAGAACGCGGCTTTTCTTTCGATGGCGGTAAACCTCGTTTCACGAGGAAGAACGCCTTCTTTCGAAAGTTCCTCTTTCAAAAGAAGGCGTTCTTCAATGTAAATAGGGCTTCCTCGAAAGAGAGCATCCAGACTCGCTGGGTGCTCTCTTTCGAAAAAGCGGATTGCTCTTTCGAAAGATCCGCCTGCAGTCTAGACGCGATCTTTCGAAAGAGGCTCTTTCGAAAGATGCTTTCGAAAGAGCCTTTTTCGAAAGAAGCCTGCAGTCTAGACATAGCCCTATTGCCATCCTTACAAGCTACACTCTGGATATTGTGTTGTGTAGTTGATGCAGTAGCATTTGATGCCACCAGGAGACTCTTGGTGGGGCTAATGATGTTTCAATCCCTGGAGTAGGCAGAACCCCTGCATTGCCACTGGTGTCTCCTAGACCTGCAACCCCAGAAATCCCTGAAACACATAGACTGCTGACAGCAGAGGGAGGAGGCACAAACCAGAATTACAGGCTTGTATGTAGCTATTTCCTGTTAACTCCATAGAGGAAAAATATTGGGTTCCTTGGATACATTTCCTGAAAACATAATCTGGCTACATCTGCTCCTACTGCTCTATGACCAGCGATAAATAGGAGGATTTATGAGCCCCCAGAATTAGTTACTGTTGTGTTTCTAAGAATGTTTAAGCTAATTTTTAATGGACAGATGAAAAATGCCTCAGGAAGTTCATATCATCCTACTGAACTATCAGAGGAGAGAGTTTTGTCCCTTAAAAAGACAGTGTATAGTAATTTCTGTTCAATCTCTGAATTAGAATAAGAAAATATTTTGAGCCTTAAGACTGTGATTGACTAAACTAAGAATGTCTCTTGTAAAAAAACTTGCTAATGTTTCTAAATCTGTCAACAAATCCTTTGGTTTCCTTTTAAGCGTCTTTAAAACACCTAAATCCTGATGTCAGTGGCATTATTTATTGTATAACATGGGTTAGATCAAATAAGTGATCCAGATATCAGCCTTTGAAATGAAATTTTATATTCCAGACTGACGGATTCATACCCTTAATAAAATGACAGTTTGAACAAATTATTATTTGTTCCTTTCCAGTGGCAAAAACAATTCACATTATCAGCAGGATAACTTGTATTTGTTACTGCTGCAGTGAGGACAGGAGAGGGTTCACTGCCAGATTTGGGGCATAATCCTGTAGGGCCTCATATGAAGTTCAGAGAGCCCCCAATTCCCTCCAAAGCTATTTATTGGTATTGGTGGGAGTTGAGGCATGTCTGAAATCAGGTCCTAATTTTTAACAGGAAAAATTAAGGAAGCCAGTGTTATTCTCAGGAGAAAGAGAAGAAACCAAGATGACCCAACAGCATTTTTTTCAAAATTATATAAGACAATTCACAGTGGTGGATAAACACAGATGATGAGTTCAAAATCTAAGAGCTAGAGGGCCATATCCTCAGTTGGTATAAATCCATGTAACTTCATTGACTCAAGTGAGCATTGCTGGTTTGCAGATCTGGCTAATTTTCTTAATGAAGGTGCTGGAATGTCTTTCTAGGAGGTTAATAATGGAGAATTCAACACTTCATCTCTAGGACACCAGTTCAAATTCAGCCACGGTTGATAGTGATTCAGACATGCCAGCTAATGTCTATTTTGTTGCCTGTATGAAATGAGTTTGGTAATTTCAGTCCAATTCTCAGTGGACAAAGGTGCACATCACAGCAGCAACCTTGTTGTTGTCACTCTTAGCCACAAGGCCAAAGAATGGAGTCTAACCTCTCCAGACACATCCTACAGGTGACTCCTCACACCAAGCTTGAAGGACATTGGCAGAGGGAGGCTTCTGTTCCAGGCCTGGCAATATATCACTTTTCATTAATAATAAATCCACATGAAATAAAATGGGAAGCTAGAAGTAAATGAAAAACTATTTCCTGTGAAGAGTAATAAACATGGACTAAGTTCCTGGGATGAGTTACCTAAAATACAGGTGGCCTAGCATTACCTAGACTTAGATCTGGAGAAGGTAGAATTGAGGAAAATAGGGAGAAACAGTAAAGGAAGGTTGGTTGAGATCAGATTCAAAAGAGCAGGCATGTGGGGCTGGCTGACTTTTTCTTTTCCTAACATCTCTTCTATTCTTACATTTCTTGTTTCAGATTGCCTGTTTGGTACCTGTTGACCAGTTTCAGTTATACCAGCGATTGAAATTTGAACGAGGTGTGAACCATTTATTTTACATTTATTCATTACTGTGGCTTAAAATATGGGATGAAGGGATTCCACTGAATACCAGAATGCATTGTCACCGGTGGGGGAGGCCTTCTTTTTTTTTTAATATAATTTAACTATAAAGAGTAGGCCAGATTCTACTCCCACTTAAGTCTATAACAAAACTGCCATGGACTTTATCAGAAGCCAGACCACAGGACAATTTTTTGATTAAGCATCTTAGCTAATATATTCAATTTTGTGTGCCCGGGATTGAGCTATTTTTCCTGCAGAGTCCCTCATCCTGGGTGCTTGGCATAGTTGCAGCGAGGGGGCATTCATGGTAGAATGGGTGCAGTAGAGTTCTGCTGCAAGGGAACAAGTGGCCTTTGCATTAGGATGGGACACCAGGGGCTAGCATGGATAGAGAAGCATGGATCATCCATCTGGATGTTCCTGGCTTTCCATGCATCTTCAGGCCCACCGGAGATGGGCAGGGGGAAGGTTGGTGCTGAGGGCTGGCTGCCCACAGACTGCCCTTCCATCTGAGTCCCCCCAGTCCAGTAGCCTGGAGCCACCCCCTCCCCTTGCCCAGGGGCCTGGCAAGTCCGTCACCCTCCCATGGATCATCAATGCTTGTGTTTTTCCATGTGGGACAAACCTAGTTTGCATGATAGGACAATAAAGGCAAGTTGGAAATCTCTGCAATGAAACCCTCACAAAGATTTTTCTCCCCCGGTTTTTACAGTGGAAGTCAATCTGTCTCATTATTATTGACTACAACTCTGTCAATAGAGAAGCCAATGACATCAGGAACGTAAGAATGGCCCACTAACTTGTTTTCTGACAGTGGCCAGTGCCAGATGCTTGAGAAGGAATGGACAGAAAAGGGCAATTGTCAAGTGACCCATCCCCTATAATCTAGTCCTAGGTTCCGGATGTCACAGGTTTAGAGAGACCTCATGCTGGGGTAGCGGGTGGGTCCTACAATTGACAGGTACTTCTTTTACTTTTTAATACATACATAATAACAATAGTCTGAGTTTCTCTTATTTCTACTCCAATTCATCTGATGAAGTGGGTCTCACTTTTGAAAGTTCATGAGTCTATATTTTTTGATTGGTCTACACTGCTGTGCTATATCAGGATACCTCTGGTATCCCGAAAAAGCTATTCTGCATCTTTTGAGTGTGCCTGTTTCTTAGAAATATAACTGGCTCACTATTCCAACTTCCCTATACGCCTCATTCCATTAGGAATAAGGGATGTTTGGAATAGGTATTTATTTCAAAATAAGTACTGTGTAGACAGCGCCAAATTTCAAAATTAACTCGAAATAAGCTATGCAATTTGCATAGCTCAATTTGTGTAATTTATTTCGAGCTCTGGGTAGTGGTATATGCACCCTAAAGTGCCACAGGACTACTCATTGTTTTTAAAGCTATAGATTTACACAGATACTCCTCTGAGGCTTTTATTCTTTTTGTATTATGTAAAAGCAAAAGGATAAACAACACCTCCCTATTCATTTCTCCACACCATGATTTTATAGACCACCAGGGCCAGATTAAGGCATGGGCTAGCCAAGCAGCTGCCCAGGGCACCAACTTATGGGGGCACCCGATGGCAGCTGTAAGGGGCACTGTGCGCCCCCGCAGCCATATGGCCCTGCATGGCCAGGCTCGGCCTGCCCCGGGCGGCCCCGGGCTGCACGCCAGCGGTGGTAGCTGGGTTGGGCCAGGCCGGGCATGTGCATCCTGCCGCCACCAGCTCCACGCGCCTTCTACCACACTCTGGCGGGGCCGCGCATGCACCCTCCCCCAACCTGGGGTGCAATTAACCTGTCTGCCCGACGTGCCGGAATGGCTCGGTCCGGCCCTATTAAGACCACTATAATATTCTCAAACTGAACAGTCTCAGCTTTTTGATCTCTTCCTGTGTAGAAGCTGTGCCACACTCCAAACCATTTTTGTTGCCCTTCTTTATACCTTTTCTAACTTTAACACAGGTTGATCCTCTCTAGTCCGGTACCCTCAGGATCTTACTGGTTCAGCACGAGATAATTTTTCGGATCATGGGAGGTCAATATTGTCTAGAAGCATTACCAACACTCCAATTGCTTATTGGGCTGTTATAGGACATTTAGGAGCAAATTAGAGCTAAATAGCAGCATAGAACACTGAGAGCCAGGACTGGTGGCTGTAAACAAACTTTATGGCACTGCAGGAAACTTGGCCACACCCAGGAAAAATGGACATCTGGCTAACTAAAATCATTGTGGATGATGAATCTTTCTGGACCAGAGAGTTGTGGATTAGAGAGGTTCAACCTGTATATCTTTTCTGAGGAGTATTCAAGTACCACAGATTTATTTAGTTATCACATTATATTTTCTGTTTTATTATATAACCCTTTCTTAATAGCACCGAACATAGAGTTTTTGATTACAGCTGCATGCTGAGATGTTGTATTTAGACAAATATCCATGAAGAAGCCAAGATCTTTCTTGAGCTAATTTAGACTCCATAATTTTGCCTGTATAGTTGAGATTATAGGCTCAAATATGTATGACTTTGCACTGATCCACATTTAATTTCACCTGCCATAATGTTGCCTAGTCACCCAATGTAGTGAGATTTCTTTAACTCAGCATTGAACTTTGGACTTAAGTATCTTGAGTCATTTTATATCATCTGCAGACTTTGCAACATCTCTGTTTACTGCTTTTTCATATCATTTATGAATATGTTGAACAGTATTAGATCCAGTATAGATCTCAGGATGGCACCGCTGTTCCCCTCTCCCTTCTGAAAACTGATAATTTATTCCTACTTTTGGCCAATCTTTTAATCAGTTAGAGTATGTCTACACTGCACACTTATTTCAAAATTAGCTACTCCAGAAGAAATACTCCAAAACAGCTTATTTTCAAATAGCACATCTACACTACAGGGAAGCCTCAAAACTAGTCTGAAGCAGGCTTCCCTAATGCAGACGTGCTACCTCAATTTAGAGCCCCAGGAGGCACCAGGGAGTAATTAGTTTGAATGGCCCTGGGGAGGAGCTATTTCAAAATAGCAGCAGTGGAGCATCTACCCTGTAGCTATTTCAGAACAGGCATTATTCCTCGTGGAATGAGGTTTACAGAAGTCGGAATAAGCTGTCTGTAGCAGGAGGGTGGCTAGCAGGCGGGGCTCACCATCGTAGCCCCCCATTTTTTCCACCTGACGTCCTACTGACTTAATATTTCCTCACTCTGTGCACCCCAACAAGTCTAACCCCAATAGTCCGTGTCTCTGGTCGGTCCTCAGTCCGTTGCTTTGGGCGGGCCGAGGGCGTAGCTCCACAACGCTGGCCCTGGCGATCCCAGCCTCCTCCTCTCGGGATCCTGCTGGAGAGATTACAGGCAGCCTTGCTTGGCTAATGGGGGGCAATGTTCTCCGCCCACACCCCCCTTCATTACCCACCCTTCCAGGTTTTAAATGTCGCATGCGGTGCGTCGCCCGGAGTGACACGCCCCTGTCTCTCCCCCTGGGTCCAAAGGTCTGCTGGGTTACTTGCAGCCAGCGTGCATGCGCCAAAAATCCACCGCGGGGTGTGGGCTCCGCACTTTGACACGCTGGGGGCGCCATGGGTCATGCGAGAGGGCGTGCTGCCATATCAAGCGGGGGGTGACCCCCCATCACATGGTCTATTATTTCAAATTTATTTCAAAATAACAGAATTGCTGTGTAGCTGCTCACATTGTTATTTTGAAATAACGTCCATAGCTAACTTTTAAAAAGAGTAAAATCAGTATGTTAAAGGGTTAAAAAAGACATGAATGTAATTTTTTAAACAGTTTGAATGGGTTGAAAACAGTTTGTGAATGATTTCCTGATGTCGCCTCACAGATGTCTTGTTGTCAACTAAAACATAATTTAGCCAGAACAGAACTCCTGATCTTTTGTTCCAACCCTGTTCCATTCTCGAAGTTTTCTGTCATTTTTTTGACACCACCGAAAGCTTTGCAGTCACTCAAACCTACGACTTGTCTGTCCTCTTTAATTTCCCCCTCTCTCTTGTCCTGAATATCCCAGGCTGTGTTCCAACCTCCCACATCTTCCTCCATCACCTTTCTAAAACCTTCTGTCCTTGTTCTTTGACAGGCAATGGGCAAATCATGTCACCCAAGTGGTCCTCCTCTCCCATCTTCGTGACTACAACCTCCTCCTTTCCAGATTGCTTGACATGCCTAGCTCCAAGATTAGAGCTATTAAAATCTCCTTCATTGCTTGTTGCTCTGATCATGCAGCCTATAGCTGAAACTCTCCCCCGGCTTCCCTTGTTTTACTGCACCACAGTCAAGCTACCGGTGCTCACCTACACAATTCTGATCCTCCTTAATGGTCTGTTTTAGTTTGTTAGTTACTGTGTCCCACTTTCCTTTACCATCTTCTCTACTTAGACAACAATATTGATCCTTATTTACAAGGTTTTTTTTACACAAATCTTTCCATACCTTGTTTTGTCCTGTCCCTTAGGAACAGAACATCTATTTTGCAATGATGGACAAGGCCACCATGCTCTTGTCCTTTTGAATTGCTTCTCAAAACCCACCTCTGCCATGGCATTTATAAGAAATCAGACCGTTAATGTTGACTCGAGTGTCTGTTTTATATGGCATATATAATTTTTCTGCCCTCAAGCCACTCTTTCAGCCAACAACCTTTTGCTCTAACCAGCTTTTGCTCACGAGTAAGGAAACAATTTAATCACGGATTCCAGAACTTTAGCACACCACTGTGACTTCCTTAGCTTCAGTCCCTGTGGCTGCAGCTGGAAACCCTTTCCCCAACCCCTGGAAGTAGGTCTCAAGCTTCTGCTCTTCCTCTCCCCACACAACTCAGGTTTCAGTCCCCAGCAGCAGTCAGACGGCCCTCAGTTATTTTAGTAAAAGTCATGGATAGGTTATGGGCTTCTCTGACTTTGTTTATTGCCCATGACCTGTTCATGACTTTCACTAAATA